GATAACGCGCGATAATTAAGGTGTCAAGAACTTTTCACCTTTTTCAGAACTTTCATTAATATACATTATATATTGAACTTCCTAATATATTATTTTACATTTTCGATACACATTTATATATATTTTCAGAAGAAAAAAATTACTAAAAAAATGTTCTAAACCTGCTTAGTATTACCTTTTAACAATCAATCTCGTGAAAACTGAAGTCCAGGTTTATTTAAGGCTACAAAATAGAGAAGCGTGACAAAAGATCGACCCCTTCCCAAGTTGCTACCATTGACTCAATGCCGATAATTAAATTTTTGTATACAAAAAGCCAAGCTGCGATAAACAATTGACTGTCTAACTCCATGACCTAGCACCGCAAGTTTTGCACAAATCAACTAAATGAAACCAGCTGGTACTAAAACCAATTCCACTTCTCTCCCCGCCTTTTCTCATAACACTGTAAAAAAAAATAAAATTCTATGGTTAAAAAAAAATGTGCAACTTGTGCTTGTGGAAATTTCACCTCATAATCGACAAAGATTTAATGACTTGATTAAAAAAAATTAAAATTAAAATGTTAGAGTGAACATAATGTGATTCAGCGCACAAGTGATGTGTGCCTGAAAGCTTACTTGGCAATTGGGATTCAAGTGTCTACTTCAAAGAGGTAAGAGCTTTAGCATAGTTTGGAGAACTGAAATCCTCCATTTTAGTTCAATACACAGGCACATTTTCTTTTCTAAAATGTTTTAAAACTTAATCGCGTTTCAGACATTTAACGTAATTTCTGTCGTGATGGTACTAATTGACGCAACCACTGTAGCCGGACGTCGTTTAAAGTTGTATTGCTGATAAAGTGCTGCTGGTACAACCGTAACAACGTTGCCGATAAGTTCGTGAAAGGCAAAACTGGAGATAAACAAATCTAAACTATATACCATACCTTATTTGATCAAACAAATGAAAAAAAAACAAAATATGGCGAGTTCGTACATAAGATACGACATCTAATTTATAAAAAGACACCTGAGAGGATAGAGGTCTTTAAATTGAAAAGAAATGGATCGACAAGAGTTTATTCTATGATTTGGCGTTCGGGGAAACGGTTAAGTAAAAGAATATGCGTATATTTTTTAACGATAGTTCATTACAAAATTATGTCTTCAAATTTATCATGATGCCCCTAAACATTCCCTGTTTAACAGTTGAGCAATTGTATCCGATACATGAATATCAAATTTCTATTTTTTTTATTTTTTATTGTTATTATTATTATTATTATTTTGTTTTGCAATGCGTTCCAAAGTCTGTCTTGATCTCACCTGATAGAGCCAATTAATTTATGAAATTGACTAAAGATACCCCTTTGTATTTCTTCTATCTGCTACGTGCACAACCATTCAATTATAGAGAATATGTATCATTAACAAAAGTCACCATTTAAAGTAGTATGCTCATTGAATCGTAAAATAATGTCTACCATCTTCAAACAAAAGAAATTACCATTGTAATACATGAATTTTAATAGTGACTAATAAAAAAAATCCATCTGTAGAGTTCTTTTTTTTCCCGTCAATAAAGTTCATTATCATTATATTGCATGACTTTTGAATCATAAAAGAATAAATTTATCATCTTTAAACAAAAAAGACTTATATCATTGTACTCCCTTCCCTCCTAATTATCTATGCGTCACAAACTAACCAAACTTAGTTCAAATTTTGGACCTTATAATTAGGACAAGAGAGAGTATCACATAAAGTCTATCGTCACTATAAGTTCATCACCTTTATTCTATAAGATCATTTAATTATCAATTAAAAATGTCCATCATTAGAAAGAGTCCATGTCCATTTACTTGAACATCATTCATGAATTAAAGGTTATTATTTTGAAAGAAAATCCATCATTTAGAAGCAAAAAGTCCATCATAAAGAAATAGACAAAGTCGAAAATTTTTGTAATTTAATTAATAGAACATCACTCATGAATGTAAAGACCATTATAAATCAATGAAAACTCCATCATTGAAAGATTTTAACACCATTAAAAGTTATATTTCTTTGAAAGTTTCATAATTTGTACACGAAACTTGTATTACAAGAAAATTAGATCCGAACATATTATGATGTATTTGATGGATAGACCTCGTTGAATATATACCAATAAGTTAATGCGTAGTACATTTATTAATTATTATTCACAAATTAGAAGATAAAGCCATCTGAAAGTTTTAGAATTTTTTTCTTTTGTAGATATTGTTAAGTAAAAGTACTACCAAGACCCCATATTTTAGAGAAGGTATAGTAAATATCTGGGATATCATTTTCTAGGTGAGTTTAGACCAGTGATATATTTTATCATTTTCCTACTTCTTCTTCTTCTTCGTTTTTACTTTTTCAACTAAGGTAATTTGAAAATGTTTAATCAAGTTATGTGTCGTTTACACTCCGGCTTATCGAAGCATCCAATAGCTAGAGAGGATAGTTCAAGCATATCGAGCTACTGTTGAAATATTCCACCTTTGAATTGTCAACAAATTTTCTCTATAAAAACCCACAAAGCAAAACTCACAAACCAATTCCAATATCCTTTTAACTATATAAAAAAGAGTTCCAACTTAAAAAAGAAACGAAATGGAATCTTTCAAGTTTCATTTGGCTGCTCTTATTGTTTTCATCTCAGGTTTGGCTCTAACCAATACCTCCTTTGCTCAAAACTCCCCACAAGACTACTTAGATGCCCACAATGCAGCCCGTTCGGAAGTCGGAGTTGGCCCCATAAGCTGGGATACAAACCTTGAAAACTATGCTCAGAACTACGCTAACGGCGTCCAATCGGCTAACACGTGCGATACTCTGGTGCATTCCGGAGGACCCTACGGCGAAAACCTAGCCGCCGGGTTCCCGGACTTGACCGGACAGGCGGCCGTCAACATGTGGGTGGCGGAGAAGAGCAACTATGACCACGATTCCAACAGCTGCGCCGACGGCCAGGTTTGTGGGCACTACACTCAGGTTGTTTGGCGAGACTCGGTTCGGGTTGGGTGTGCTAGGGTTCACTGTGACGATGGCTGGTCCTACGTTATTTGCAGCTATGATCCCCGAGGCAATTATGCTGGCCAGAGCCCTTACTAGAGTTCTTAATTAATTTCCCTGCATGGTACAATTATGGTATGATGTTATTCTGTAAAGTGTAAACTTATATCTTCATCAAAATATTCTCCCCGAATAATACCCAGTGAAATTCCGGGGAAAATAAATTACTTTCTGGTCGTGGATGTGACCATGCATGAATCGTGATGATTGAATAATTTCTTGCAGTTGCAAGTGATTAATTAAAAGTTTCTTGCGTCTATATTTATTAGTTTGAATGTGAACTCCGGATTATAATGATATTAAATTATCTGAGTATATATTTCTTTCTTGTTGGGTTGCATCAAAGTAAATTATTAATTATTGCTCCTCTTCTCAAAACATTTGTTTAACGAAATTTTAAATTAGATAATAATCAAAGAATACCATAAAATAAAACTTTATAAAACGATTGCGATATGGACCGTGACTATTGGGAACGACGTGGTACTCGGAAAGTAAACAATATTGTAACCACAATTTACTCACCCAAATTAAAATAAAATTACTTTTCTAAATTTGTTTTACGAGACTACCATTAATTACTCGATAAGAAGAATATGGGACTCCCACAAAAAGCTATACTCAAGTAGTCAGGTGGCTTGTAACTCAGGGACTCTTGCCGAAATGAATGAAATTGGCTCATAATCTCTTTGTCCTACGTCAAAAGAATAAAACATTTGATAATAATTAGTTTCATATATTACTTGTCTCATTGTACATTAATTTTAAGGTGAAATCATATAAAACCTTAGACATGCATGTCTTCTAGAACTCCCATAGAAACTATGCTTTTGTCCTCAAGTAACAAACTTGCAACGATGTTTTTCGTTTTGTTATATTACGTGTTCGTAATTTTTGTCCATATTAATTCAAATGCATGCGAGTCTGGGACAATAACTATTCCATCCAAAATTCACATCTCTACGACGAGTACTCCAGTCCAATCCCGACGTTGATGAAGTCTAATATAACCACGTAAATTACCCCACGTCATATTATACTTCATTATCAGTAGTCAGGACCTTGCGGTCCCAGAGAATAATGAACGATTAATTGACATGACGGTTGAGATGAAGAATTAAGTATTTTCATCACAACAAATCTTTATTCATATTTAAATTTTTTTTATAATAAAAATTAAGTACTGAATTTTAAATTTTCTAGAAAAACGCTATGTACCATACAAACTAATATTAACTTATATTGAAGACCTGATTCTATCAAATATATATATATATATATATATATATGTATATGTATGACCGAATCAATGATAAACATAAGAAAATAGTCTATTACTCCGTCATGACTTCAGAATATGAGTAATATTTTATCCTGGAAAAAATTAAAGAAACAAGTCAAATCAGAGAATATATTATTGCATCCACATTATTTTAATAGTTTATTTTTTGTGTACTGTTTGGGAGCAAATATTATACAACACTTTTTAAATTCTAGATTTTTTTTTTTTCTGAAGGCAATAGTTTATCTAAATTTCTTAACACGGCATCATAATTTCTGGTTTTCTATAGAATAACATGTGAATGAATATTGTAGAAAGAAAAGACTTTTTTGACTTAATAATGTTAGGCCATGTTTTTCTTTATTGACTTCCTAGCACACATGTTTATTTATTCCCATTAGAAATATCAACATATATTTATACGACCGGAAATCATGTCTAAACTGTAATTAATGACTTTTTCTGAACAATCTAAGTGATAATTTTATACACTACTGCATATGGATAATCTACACATGAATCTCCACAATCTCTCCACGCATTGGAAAACAATTTCGGAAAGGTGTAGACTTTGGACATAATTCAGAGTCCACACAATTAAGTAAAAGGGGAAAGAAACTGTAACAAAGCACTAAATTTTACTATTGATTTTCTTTCAATCTGGATAAATATAGTACGCACTAAGTTTTCTTAAGCACGCACTTTTACAAAACTAAACAACAAGAGTGGAAATAATACGTAAACCCGACTCAAATATCCACTCTATCATACTTAATCTATCAAAGAAAGTAAAAATTACATAAAAGAGAGAACGCCTACAAAAAACATGAAAAAGATGAGGCATATGCCGACAATACTATTATACTTCCATCACAAGTTGATAGATAGATATATGGAGAGAGAGAGAGAGAATGCAGTGGGCAACCGAAAACGCCACAAATAATAAGGGGCACCCTACTAATTATTAATATGGGCGTTCGCCGATAACGTTGCCAGGGGGATCATAGCTGCAAATGACGTAGGCCCAACCATTGGCGCAGACAACTCGGGCACAGCCCACATTCACGGAATTCTGCCACACCACCTGAGTGTAATGCCCACAAACCTTATCCGGCGCACATGAGTTTGATTCATAGTCATAATCACCCCCTTCTTGCACCCACAGCTCCACGGCCTGCCGTCCGGTGAAATCTCCGGTTCCGCCCGCTAGGTTTTCGCCGTAGGGTCCCTGAGAATGCACCAGCGTGTCGCACGTGTCCTCCGCTTGAGCTTGGTCGGCGTAGTTCTGAGCGTAGGCTGCTAAGTTATCGTCCCAGTTGATGGCTCCGACGCCGACTTGCGCGCGGGCAGCGTTATGGGCGTCCAGGTAATCTTGTGGTGCATTTTGAGCAAATGAGGGATTGACCAAAGCAAAGGCTATGGAAATGAAACAAATTGCAAGGGAGAACGAGAAGTTGGAAACTCCCATTTTGGACTATGTATGTATGTTTAGTTATCGATGTGTGAGGAGTTTAGTTTTTGTGTGTTTCAATTTATAGTCGAAGGGTATGGCCTGTAATGGCGGGGTATCGACGTCCACGTAAAAAGTACTCTCTATTCTCTCATTCATTTTAATTAGAGAAGTTTATCACTCGGCTTAATTAGCGGCATAACTTAATTACATCTTATGTATGTTTAAACATACATATTCTTTACATTCAGAAATGATTATCTAGTTTAAATTTTTATTTTAATTCAGATTATGCTAAAAATAAAAATTCAAATTAGTAATCATCTACAAACAAAGAAAGTATGATATTTTTAACTTATAAGTCGCATAATCAAATGACGTATAATTTTAATAAGCACATGAAAAACAGTCCATCTGCTGCAGTCATCCGATGCTAGTTGATTGATCTTGACTTTACCGGCTTATGAGTGGGCCAAGAGGACCTACTTGGAGTAGATTCGCATTCCAAATCTGGATGACGGACATAATCCTCGCCACAAGTATTGCTCTATGCATCCCACAAAATGTTCCTCGTGTATTATTGACTCTGTTGTTGAATATCCGGCTTCTTTAATCCTTTTTCTTGAGGTAAAGCCGGTGAAGGAGCAGGATTACTCTTAGCCTTCTAGTAGTAATTGATTGTATATGTGGACGAGGTGCTGAGAACTTTTACATTAATTCATCTTCACTCATGCGTAAAAGATACTATTTATATATGTCTCCCAAAAATAGTTTACATTGAGTTTTAGGATTTCTAATGTTTTTAGTACAAATTTAAAAATTCAATGTGAATTACTTTTTTAGAAGTACATAATACATAAAAGTCTATCTCTTCTCCTACATAATCCTACTTTCTATTCTCTCCGTTCCAAAATAGATGTCGTTAGAGAAAAACATAATTTTTTCAAAATACTTGTCGTTTTTGCATTTCGAATCATGTTTTGTCAATTTTTTCCAACATTGCCACTACATGGGTAATTGTAATTGTGTTTAAAGTAGAAGTGTATCAGAACTAAATAATATTAGAAATTGAATTCCATTGAAAGTAAATAAGAGTTAGATTAGTATTTTAACTAATTATTTATTGTCTTCTTAAACTTTGTCTAATTCTTCCAACGACATCTATTTTGGAATAGAAGGAGTATTATATTTAGATTTGGGGAAAAAAAATTAAAAGTTCAAAACACACGCCACAAGAAGAGTAAAGCACTAGATTAATTTACCAAGAACTTTATTTTATATTAAACACATATGTATTAAATATTGAATTTTCATAACCGTATGGATTTAACAAACCAAACAACAAGAGGGAACAATACGTACGCCCAACTCATAAAACAATCAAGAGTTTGAGAATGGTCATACACTATTATCCACCTTAATTACCATACTTATTATTCCATGAAACAAACCAAAAAAAAAAAAGAAAAAAAAAACAGAAAAATCACACTCTAGTTTTATTCCATCACACATATAGATCATGCTGTGCCCAAATCAAAGACCACAAGTAAGTGGTCCCCTAATTAATATGGGCGTTCGCCGACGTAGTTGCCAGGGGGATCATAGCTGCAGATGACGTAAACCCAACCACTGTCGCAGACAACCCTAGCACACCCAACGCTAACAGAATTCTGCCACACGATCTGAGTGTAGTGCCCGCATTGCTTACCGGGGCTGCACGAGTTGGATGCATAATCATAATCGGCCCGCTCGTTCACCCACATATCAACGGCATCCTGTCCGGAGAACCCTCCATAACCGTAGGCTAGGTTTTCACCGTATCGACCCTGAGAACGGACGAGAGTGTTACACGTGTTCGCGGCTTGAGCTTGGTCCGCGTAGTTCTGAGCGTAGGCTTCTAAAGTTTCGTCCCAGCTGATGTCCCCGACGCCAACTAGAGCGCGAGCCGCGTTATGGGCGTCCAGGTAGTCCTGTGGCGCATTTTGAGCAAATGAGGGATTGATCGAAGCAAAGGCTATGAACAGGAAACAAATACCAAGAGAGCATGAAAAGTTGAACATTCCCATTCTGAAAAAATAAATGTCCTTTTTTTTTTTGTTTCTCAATTAATTTGGTTCTGTGAGGATTGTTGTTGGTTTGGATGTTTCAATTTATAGACGATAGATATTCATGGATTGCCTCAGACTTGTTAACCATGATGGCATGCATGCATCCGCGTCGTGTCGACATGACTAATTAAATTAAATCATGATTTCATTGATTTTAAAATGTTTTTCAGACGCATTTAGTAGCGTATTCTTTTATCATAAAATAAAGAAAGGATCATATTATTAACAAAAACGTATTTCTTTCGTCCCAAAATAATTGTTTTTGAATTTTATTCATAGATTCTATTGTATAAAAGAATGAAAATCCAAATAGATTATTTTCAGATAGAGAGATTCCTTCATTCATATGGTAAATATGTTTTGTAATAATAATTAAAATGATTGTTTAAATGCATACACATCCAACTCAAATTTAGATTAATCGAGCTAGTAGTTATCAAAACATGTTCTCAATGTTCTCATCACAGATGGGACAGTAGCAATTAATTCTCGAATGAGGCTAGCATACTCGATATTCATTATTATTAATTTTTCACAATGTGGATAATCAATTTTCGCATATGGAGAGTATGTACCTGACATACTTTTAGATAGATGCTCGAGATGGAATTAATTTGAACGAAATTGGCAAATGATAAAGGGATTAAGTTCCACTGTTGTTACAATTTATTTTAACTCAATTTTAACACGGTAACTAGCTGGTAAGATTCAACATTCTAATTATCAATCATCAACTAGTTATAATTAAGGCCGTAATTTAACGGACTTTTCAATCCACTTGCTGTATTAGGTTAACTAATGGTATGTATAACTCGTGCGTTTTTATATAACACAAAGCTGCCAATTTGAAGGAGTCTTAAGAAATTTTCACCTTTTCTTTTAAAACCAGAGAAAAAAAAGGAAGAAAAAAAAAAAAAACCCACCGGGACTTTAACTTCGAATCGACTAAATTTTTTATTCAGTAAATGAATTCTATCCTCCACTAGGAACAAGCATGCTATTTAATTTCCATTCCACAAGATGAATGCACGTGCCGAGCTAGGTACTGCTAATTTGTTCTTGTTCAAGTTGTACTCACTTTTATTTCTTACCTAATACTTACCTACTATGTGTTTTGGAAATGTTATTCAAGAGTGAGTTTTTATTTTTACTCACATGTTAAGTTTGACAAGTATCACGGATTTACTGCACCTATTATTGTCTAACTTGGCCGGTTGCCCAACCTTAGTCTTCTTCCATCATGCATCTTCTCATTGTCGAAAACAAATGATAAGTATTCCTTTATAGTTTGTCTCTAGTTAAGTTACTCAAAATATTAATCTACACTGTCGATTTAACATTATGTTTTGCTGCAATTATCCTTTGTATTTTGAACAATATTCATGTATGCTCTCAATAATAATTTTCTTTGTGGCTTTTGAGATATATATTTGTGGAAAATATTACTGCTTTAAGTTTTCAGGTAGTTCTCAAATAACTAGGTTTACCTACAAGTAGTGGATTTTCAGCTAAAGCTTGATTGTCGTATTTGTCAGTAATTAGTAAAGGGTGCACCGTGCACGTTAATTATCAAGCTTTTATTTACAATAATTACGTTACATATCTCAATCACATTTTGCGTTTCTTCCCTCCAGGACAACTCTTCAATGAAATTGGTATTTTGTCAAAGAAAAACAATTTTATCTCCTAAACGTTATCATAAATATGAGCAAATCCTGAATATAGACAAATAGATTAACGGTCGAATCCATTCTTATCCTCTGTATAAAAAACTTAAGATCCTCCCAGCTAACGGATATTATTCAACGGAAAAGAAAAAAATGAGAGCTCAATTCGATTTCTCTTTCTCATGTCTTCATATTTGTATCCTCATAACAGTTGCTTCAATCAACACGATTCCCTCCTTAGCACAAGACTTACCGCAAGTTTTTGTGGCCCAACACAACAAAGCTCGTGAAGAAGTCGGCGTTGAGCAGATCACGTGGGACTTAACATTGGAAGCCTACGCTCAGAATTACGCCGACAACGTTCAGGCGGTCCTTGCTTGTAGTGATGCGGATCCTTCCGGGGGACCCTACGGCGAAAACATCGCGAGCGGAGGGCCCCACATGGACGCATTCAAGGCGGTGGAGCAGTGGTTGGACCAGAAGCGGAACTATGACTATGAAACTAACTCGTGCGCAGAGGGCAAGGATTGCAGCGGGTATACTCAGGTTGTGTGGCGAGATTCGGTCCGACTCGGGTGCGCTCGGGCTGTCTGCCACTTCCATGACATTGATCTTGTGCTTGTCATTTGCAGCTACGATCCTCCTGGGAATATTGCTGGCCGGCGACCTTACTAGCGGACAGCGTCCAGCTGGTTCCTTTCCATTATTAGAAAATCTCTTAATTGGTGACGTGGATATTATTATTAAATCTGTGAATGAACTCTTCGTGTTTGTTTGATATAGATGCATGACCCAATTAAAGTATCCATGAAAAATGATGAACTTTTTTTATATATATATTGACATTTCCAGTAAAAATGGAATTAAGATTGCAGCCTAGCACATTTCTAAGTACTTTCTTTGATTAGTTTTCAGTTTTAGAATATACTCCCTCCGGTCCTTAATATAAGGCATTTAATTTGTCCTAAGTTTCACCTAAATATGCCTTTTTAATTGATAAAAACTCTTAAAAATAGAATTTCACATTCATTGTGTTTTCCTTTTATTGTTAGAAAATGTTTTTAAAGTTTCTTTGTCGATTAAAAATGCGTAATAGGTGAAACTTACGACAAATCAAAATACCTTATATTAAGAACCGGAGGGAGTATATAGGCTTAATAGAGTATGGACTACAGCAATGGTAGCTTTTTATGCATAAAATCAATGGTGTGAAATATATAATTAATCCGCAAATTTTCATGTTGTACGATGTTGTCCTTTTCAAACA